GCACCCCCCACCAGCAGCCCCCCAGCCGGGGGAAGAGCCTGGGGCAGTAGAGGATGCTGCGGATGCCAGTGACATGGAGGAGCAGGAGCTGCCGGCACAGTCCAGGGCAGATGTGAGGGAGGAGGAGGGTCCTGGACCGGAGCCCCAAGGGGTGGCAGAGGAGGGTGAGGAGAGCGGGGGCAGGAGGAAGATCATCCTCACGCCCCTGGAAAAGCTCAAGCTGTCCACACTGAACCTCACCAGCGAAGCAGAGCCCGAGCCGCCGCCAAAGCCGGCTCGTCTGTGGCTCCAAGCAGCGCCCAAGGTCCTCCCTGCCCTGTGGCAGGGACAAGATGCCTGGGAGGAGGAGGAAATGGCCGTGGAGGAAGGTAGGTGGCTGCAAGCTGGAGTCTCCAGCTGAGCAGGGCTGTGGGTCCGTCTGGTACCCGCCATGCCCCATGTCTTGCTCATGAGGCACTGGCCCAAAATGGCTCTTTTCCTGGGGCAGCTTTGGAGGAGAGTGACAGTGAGGAAGAGGAGGAGAAGGAGGAAGAAGGCACAGACCTTGGCATCATGGCAGAGTCGGTGAGTGCTTTCCCTGAGCACCGGTGGCTCCACCAGCCCGGGTGGTGGCTGAGGCTCTTGCTGGTGTCTCCTCTCACCAAGGCATTGGGTCCAGCCCTGCTGTGGCTGCTGGGGCAGGAGGTGCCTGGCACAGGTACTGACCCCGCTGCCTGTGCCACTGTCTCTTTGCAGTGCCTGGACATGGGGAAAGAGGAGAAATACCCCACCTGGAAGCGCACACTGATGCGTCAGGCCAGGGAAGCCCAGATGAAGCGGTTCTGCAAAGCCCAGGTAAGCCCCACGGGGGAGAGCCAGATCTCCAGCCTGGCACTGTCCCCCGTCCCCTCCATCCCGCTGCCGGTGGCCATGTGCTGGGAGGTGCTGGCCCGCAGGCGAACACTGCCCTTCCCTCGCAGGCCATCCAGAGGCGGCTGGAGGAGATCGAGGTGACCTTCCGGGAGCTGGAGCAGCAGGGCATCAAGCTGGAGAAGTTACTGCGGGATGAGGATGGTAAGGCCAGGGTGGACAGGGCACTGTGATCCCCATGTCCAGGGGGTCTGTGCCCTGCTCATGCCCCCTTTGCCGCCCTGCAGGCACCCCGGCTGACCAGAAGACGCAGTGGATGAACCAGCTGCTGTACTTGGTCCAGAAGAAGAACAGCCTGATGTCCGAGGAGTCGGATCTCATGATCACGTAAGGTTTGGGGGGATGCTCCCCGGGTGGTGCAGAGGCTCGGCTCACCCCAGCCCCCCTGAGTCCAGCACCCCTCTTCCCTCCCCACAGGGTGCAGGAGCTGAAGCTGGAGGAGCAACAGTGGCAGCTCGACCAGAAGCTCCGGTGCTACATGAACAGGGAGGGTGAGTGCCGGCATGTGCTGGGGGATCCCTGTGCATGGTGGGGGGAGCGGGGTCAGGGCTGTGGCCCACCCAGCCCTGCTCCAGCCCCCTGCTCCCGCAGAATCCTTGAAGACACCTGAGGATCGCGCGGCCGAGCAGGAGATCCTGGTGCAGCTGCTGGAGGTGGTGAACAAGCGCAACGTCCTCATCCACATCCAGGAGGAAAAGCGGCTCAGCGAGCTGCAGGCATGATCCGTGCAGCCCCAGGACCCGCCGATTCCTCCCCAGGGGGGATGAGTGGTGTGTGTCCCCGGCTGAGCATCACCCTGAGCTGCTTCTGAACGTGGTGATGCCTGAGCTGCCCGCAGGCAGCTGCTGCGGCGAATCCAGGTCCCCGCTTGCCAAAGCCTGCCATGGAGGGGCCGGACCCGCTGATGGACGCCCGCGTGGGGAGACACCGAGGAGCACCCCAGCTTTGGGGTGCAGAGAGGGCATCCCCGTGCTTGGCTGGATTGCCTTTGCCTTGTGCTTGCTTGAAAACAAGATTTGCAGGGGGCTACGAAACATGGGGGCTGCGGCGGCTCCGCCCGGGGTTTGCTACAGGAGGGAGAACCGGGGTTTGCTACAGGAGGAAGAAGCCCCACAGGGAAGTGGGGTCTCGCCCGGCACAGGAGGTCCCACAGCTGTCACCACTTCGAGGGGATGCTGCCCGGAGGCTTGGCCAGGGCATTGGAAGTGTTTTGTCCGGCAGAGCCCCTCATGCTGGAGCTGCACCACTGGCTACCTCGGGACAGGCTCCCAGCAGCCGCTACCCGGCCAGCCCCATGCCCCCGGCACCAAAGGGCTTCGCTCCCGGCAGCGAGGGTGCGACTGCAGCCACCACAGGCGAGTCACAGTGGAGATGCCAAATGTGGAGGGGCAGCGTCAGGAGCAGCCCCTGGAAGCCACCTCAGGACATCCATCCCAGCCCGGGACATCCATCTCTTCCAGGGACATCCATCCCAGCCAGGGACATCAGGCTCTACGAGTGGGGTCAGTGACAGACAGACTGGGCTGATCCCACCGCTCTGCATCGCTGCTTTTGGGTGCCACGTCCACACTGTTCCTGGCTGCTGCAGGAAACCAGCGTCAAAAACCTCCCTGCGAAGCCCCAGGGCCGGGGAAGGGGCTTTTTGTCCAGCAGCTCCCCGAGAGGATTGTGCCATGGGCTGGCACTATGTGACACCAAGGACAAGGGACGTGTCCTCCTTGCCCCTTTGGAGTTCCTCCTGCTTGGCAATGCCTAACTGGTCTTTGCACAGACCTCTCCGACCTTTCCGGAGTCCCCGGTTGTTGCGGGGTGGCCTCCACGGCCGAATGGTGCTTACAGCAGCCCTAGCCGTGTCGGGCACGGGGGTCCCGGGTGTGGGCTCCTCTGTTAGCAATACCCACCCCGCGCTCAGCCCTCATCCTGCCACTCCCTTCAGCATCTCCCCACACCTTCCCATCTGCCTTTCATTTGTACCAGCCCTACTATCCTGCTGCAACCCCCCCAATCCCTTCGAATAAAGCCTCCCCGACCCAGCACCAAGGGCTAAAACACCGCCTTTATTTTCTATCCGAGTAAAATTTGGTTGCCGGAGCAGTCGCCAGCTTTCACCAGGAGTTCCCGAGGCCACCCCGGGCAAGGGGAGGCTGAGCCTATCAAGCCTCCTGGCCATGCCAGCGGGTCCCTCTGGGTAGAAAGGGTGTATTAAAAAACCCAACAATTAAAACCCGCCTCCATCGTGGTTCCCACGGGGGCGAACGTGACGAATCTGCCCCCCAAAAAAATCTTAATTTCACCCAGTGAGGCGGCTGTCGAACCTGCGCTACCGAGCCGGCCGCAGCGCTGCTCACCTAAAACCAGACGTCAGCTAGAAAAAGGGACTGAAAGGGGCCAGGATGGGGCCAGGGGGAACATCATGGGACACCCATGGCCCCGGCTCAGCCGTCGCTGGGATGCTCCTGCAGCGTCCGCAGCGCCATTCGCAGCTGCTCCTCGGTGCCCTGCAGCATCTTCACCTCGATGGTGTGGAAGAGGTGGAGGCCGGTGGCGAGGAGGAGGATGCCGATGGCGAAGAAGGCCAGCAGGGAGAAGGAGAGCTTGGGGAAGGGTTGCCCGGCCGCCAGCCCCGCCAGCGTGCCCAGCGTGGCCTGCAGCAGCAGCAGCAGCAGGGCCAGCACAGCCATCCTGCCTGTGGAGTAGCGCTGCCGCTGCGCTGCCCGCAGCCCCACGCCCACCTCCGTCCGCGCCTCCGTCACCACGTCCACCAGCGTCGGCTCTGTGGGCAACAGGGGCGGCTCAGCAGGGTGGCACCCTCCCCGCACCCCTTTTTCTCCCCATCCCCGCCGCTCTGCCCTGTCCGTGCACCCCTCCACAAGCAGCACCCCAAGGGATGCCCTAAGCAAAGGGAAACGTCCCCAAAAATTCCATCTTCGTCCAACTCCCATCAGTCCATCCACCAGCCCCCCCAGCACATGGGGGACCCTGGCAGCGTCCCCCCACCTTACCGGCTGTGCCAAGGTTACCATCCGCAGCCTGTCCCTGCCTCCGGATGTGCAGCGTTGCCATCACGGCTTCGTGGTCCGAGAAGGGGATGTCCATGCCCGGGGCTGTCCCCGTGGTGGTCTTCAGCTCTTCGCACTTCACTGTGAAGCTGGAGACGGCCTGGGCGAGGGGACGGGGACGGGGACGGGGA